TCAGACTGTAGAATGAGCTCCCTGCTTAGGTTTACCCTAGAGACTACAGTGTGGGGTTTTAAAAAAAGGGTTTATTAAGATTTCTTCGGGGTCGGCAACGTGCACGTGACATCTCTAGTGTTGCAGGCGTCCACAGGCTACAATGACTGTTTACCATCAGAGATAAAAGAAATGTATTTTTAAGGAATAAAGAGGTCGATTCTGAAGCGTCATTTAACTAAACTTGTTTCTAAATTACTATTTAAATTTGATATCAGAGAGCAATCTTTATTCTAAGAATCAATATGAACAAATTTTTTTGAAAAGTGGTAACCGTCGCCTGTAGACATGAGTAATACCATGGACATAACAGAGTATACTGTTTCACTCATGAGATCCCTTATGCGTTGCCATTCCTGAGGACTCCGGTGTTATTCCTCTGTACCATGTAAATTCACGCCATATCCCACCCTTTAAACCGAAACACAGCCATGTAAACACAACTGCTTCACGGTAGAAACACGAACGAGACAGAGGTGCCAAAGCAAACGACTTTTGTACAAAGTCTCCCAAACATTTTTGGTGTAATAAAGCCACTTCCTGATTAGAACTTCGTGAACGTAACCGAACATAACGTATCCGAATTCAACAATTTCTTGTAAACATTCACGTGTATGCGGCCAATTAGTATGCGGCTCGCATCTTTAGGTGATATACTGCAAGACCGCTGCAGAATTCATACCTCGCTCCGCTGAATAACGGTGCTATTGTTGGTAGTGATCTAAGGAATTTTAATAGCCTTACATATGTATAAGGAAATCATATTATAATACAAGATAAGTAGATTTTGCTACATAACCACCTCAATAGATATAAATTCAGGGCTGTGATAATGGATGAAATAATATCATAATTACCTATATATGTACATGTACGTATATACACTATATATTTACATTTATTTATATCACACTACACATACACCCATGCATACATTTATACCTCTTTACAATTGTTGACCATGAATTTGTATTATTTAATCATTGCCGTCAATATCTGAACTTTAGCAACGTGGATTTTAATTATTTTATATATCAATTAATTTAACTTTATGGACACTCACTATTATATATGGGTTCCTTTCATACATGTGCTTATATTGCTTGCATACACCCACTCTAACTTGCCTACCTCGCTTTGGAATCAAAATTTTTGTATGTATAAATAAAATCCGTTATTGGCTGTATTCATAAGAGACTTAGCATGTAAGTTATTTTTTAAGAGCTGTAGATTTTTGTATAAAATAAAATAAAAAAAAAAATCATAGCAAAATCTATTATTTCGATTTAAAAATCAATCTGTTAAAACTGATTTTTGTGATGAAACTATGGGATCAATTTAAACGTATACCTTTCCAAAATAGTATTAATTACAATGGGCTAACTGATCTGCCTTTTCATTCTCACCTATCATCTCTCACTAATGCCTCGCCAGCGTATACCGTTAACGCAGGCGGGGTGACCATTCCAATACCATCTTGTAAGAGAAAGGGATTGTTAGTAATGTGTTCTAACAGCCTATTACTAACAATACACTCCATCAGGTCGACTTCCACGCGGTTCCTCCTTCACTGTGTTTAATCCTTTATGAATTCTTCACGATGGGCTAACTGACCTTCATCTTTACCTATCAACTATCACTGGTGCCCCGCCAGCGTATACCGATAGCGCAAGCGTGGTTACCATTCCATTTCCACCAATTAAAAAAATACAATCTTGTAAAAAAAAATATTCATAGTAAAGTCTACTCAATTTGTGATTTCTTCAAATCCTTTTTTTTTATCTAAATCGCATTCCTAGCAATATAGTCGAAAACAAATTACAGATTACCATAAAACACCGTCTATTTCACGGTTGGAGTCCTTATGATTGCTCCAATAAAACGCTCAGCCATAGATCGCGTACCTAAATCTAGCTATAAACACAAAATCGTCGGTTACAAGTTTAAACCGAGCTTAAGTATTCATACCGTGCGGCGAGTTAAACAAAACAAGCGTTTAAAATGTTTGCAGCGACGCGCCGGATCGTGGGTTCGCTTCTCCGTACCTATATTTATTGTTTCGAATAGCGGGCCTGAATGCAAAGTGTTATCGATTCAGTTGACTATTTGACTAGGTCAGTGTGTTAGTTTATTTGTTCGGATTAAACTTGTTTTATGTCGATTACAACTTTTTTTTTTGTTGTATTATTTTATTTTTATTTATACTTTATTGACCACATTACAAAAAAAAAAAAATGTCTGGTACAAAAGGCGGACTTAATACTATATAGCATTCTCTCGCAGTCAACCTTTGGCGAAACAGAAACTTGAATATGCGGTGAAAAAAATTACAACACATACAATAGAGATTATATAAATATACATACATGAATATATTAAACAAATATTACATACATACAAATATAAATATACATATATAAATATACCTACATACTTATAGATTATATACGATAACACAAATAAACAACGATTTTATTTTAACGTTATATTTTAACAGACGGACTGGCTGAAAACCAGCGCTGTACAGCTGTATACACTGCACTGGGACACTTGCAGCATCAGCTGAGCCGGTTCCTTTTGCCTAATATGAGACGCTTCTTATAAAATGCAATATTTTTGTATTTTATTTTGTAATTGTGCTTTTTTTTTGGCAATAAATATTTTCTATTCTATTTTATTTGTATTTAAATTGACTTTTGTACGTTTTGTGTTTACTTTTTTTTATTTTGAAAAAAGGAATATTTTTATTCAAGCAAACTTTTGTCTGTTTGGATCTGACGTGAATTTACAGGGTACAGAGGAATAATACCCGAGTCCTCAGAAATGGCAACGCATGGGGGGGTATCATGGGCGAAACGGTGTACTCAGTTGTGTCCATGGTACTGCTCATGTCTATAGGCGACGGTTACCACTTTCCATCAGGTGGGCCGTCAGCTTGTTTGCCATTCTAAGTTGTATAAAAAAAATATTCTCAATCCCTTAATATTTGGCCAAACACGTTCCCCGCAAATTTAGCCGCACTCGCTCGTGGAATTACGTTATAATTCAGTAACGTAACGTCTAACATGGGCAAAATTATGCGTAATGCATTATCAATTTTCACCACAAATATGCTATCCGAGCGTAAGAATGGTAATTCCGGCCACAATTCAATGTACCCATTTGTAAGGTCGAGGGGTTAATTGGACGTAGTGTTATTAACATATATATATATATTTTATTTAGTTATATACATATACGAATTTCTTAATACATATGAATGAATGAATATGAATGAATGAACGAATGAAAACTCTTTATTGTTCCTTTACAAATAATATGTACACAAATAAAATTAATATTTAACGACGTAAAAGCTTGGTAATTAATGCTCCTTTCCACTCAGGGTTTGCTGAAGGAGAACTCTTACAGAGTTATGCTCGCCTGTTGTACATGTTTATTTAATACTATCTATTGCCTGCGACTTCGTCCGCGTTTCCGTCGTTTTCACGGTTCAGTGGTTTTGATGTAACAGACACATTTCCGTTCACTGCTCTGCTCCTATTGATCGTAGCGTGATGAAAAGTATACTATAACCCGATCAGGAGTATGAGGAATAATTGTACCAAGTTTCGTTAAAATCCGTCGAGTAGTTTTTGTTTCTATACCGAACATACAGACAGACAGACAAAAATTTTACTGATTGCATTTTTGGCATCAGTATCGATCACTAATCATCCGCTGATAGTTATTTTGGAAATATATTTTATGTACAGAATCGATCTCTTTACAGATTTATTATAAGTATATAAATATATATTATACATTTGTAATTTTTTGTGTACAATAAAAAAAAAATAATAACAAGATAAAGCGGTAACAAATTGGATGCGATTTTCACAATTTCGTTCCTAGTCCAAGGTCAAAATTAAAATCTGATGTATATTTTAAATTGATAGGTCATCCAGGCCCATATGTGCAAAGTCGCATGCAAATAGGTAGTTTAGATACATTAGTCGTGATATTAGCAAGAACAGAGATACAGATATCTCCGAACATGTCACATCCAAGTTTAAATTTAATTCCAATTGTACTTAAACAAATTTTTTTAAACTTCCAATTTAAAATCTTGATTTTTTTTTTTAAAAAGCAGTTATACTATTGGTTGTTTCCTACATAAGATTACAATAGTAAACTTATTATAAATATAAACAATTACAAGAAATAATCACAATTAGAAAACAATGGGCGACCTTATCGCTAAGAGCGATCTCTTCCAGGCAACCTTTGGATGGAGAGGAGTAATTGTAAACAGTGTGACTGGAGGCACGAAACTCTGGTCGTTTTTTAAATACATATAGATATATACATTTGTACAATAATGTTAATATAAAAATGTAATGTAAATTAAATTAATTTAAACCGGTCGTAAAACTAAAAGCCAAATCTTTTTGTAATATGGATAAACATTACGCCGACCCCATACAATAATTGGGATAAGGGTAGGAAGATGATGATGTACATTTAAAAAAATGTAATGAATTTAAGTATTTGATATATTATAATAAAATTATCTTTATAATAAAGTTCTACAAATCAAAATAATCTGTTTATAATAATTTATATTTTTTATTTATATTTAATAATATATTTAAAAGCTGCTCTCTCGTCGGTGGAGCTCTTTCCGCTCACTACGATTTTCAGCGAGTCTCTTCACCTCTTGATACGACACGACACCAACTTTTCCCTTGATCTGCCTGATATAACTATGCCTTGGTCTCCCTATTCCTTCTATCTTATCTTCTATTATAATATTCATAAGTTCGTCGTGTCGTATCAAGTGTTCTAACATTATTTCCCTTCAGACCTCAATAGTTCTTATAATTTGTGTCTTTTCCTTAACCCAACTACTATAATAGGAAACTAAAAAATGCTCATCGATTGGCTGCATTTTAGTTATGGAAAATTAAAAATTCACTCACCGTCAAGCCTCTGCTTCCCGTTGAAGTACCATGCCACCTTCGGCTGTGGTTTCCCCTCGATAACTGTGCAGCTAATGTCAATCTTCGTCCTCTCGAGCAAGGGGCCCAGCACCGCTCCGTCCGTCAAGGTATTGTCTCCCGCTGTCACTTCCACTGACTTGGGTCTGACTGCGGACAAAAGAGGAACATTTTAAAACTCCCATTATGCAGTGAACATACAAAGACAGATAGTCGGAATTATTTTGAAAATAGTGGTACTTAACATATGTGTCTATCACGCCTGTCTCGTATTACGGTAGGCAGAAACAACTTACATATTTACACGTTTATTTTATGCAACTTAGAATGGCAAACAAGCTGACGGCCCACCTGATGGAAAGTGGTAACCGTTGCCTATAGACATGAGCAGTATCATGGACATAACGGAGTATACTGTTTCGCCCATGATACCCTCCACGCGTTGCCATTCCTAAGGACTAAGATATTATATCTCTGTACCCTGTAAATACACTGCTATATCCTACCCCTTAAACCGAAACACAGCCATGCAAACACAACTACTTTACGTGCCCAAGCAAACGACTTGTACAAAGTCTCCCTCTAGTACTTAGGTGTTTAACTGATACGTTATATTAAAAATAAAAAAACGCAAATATAAATAACACCTGAGTCCTCAGGAATGGCAACGCATGGGGGTATCATGGGCGAAACAGTATACTCTGTTATGTCCATGGTACTGCTCATGTCTATAGACGACGGTTACCACTTTACATCAGGTGGGCCGTCAGCTTGTTTGCCATTCTAAGTTGTATAAAAAAAAACATTTACACGAGTATAAGTATAATGACCTCATTAAAATATGATTATATAAAATGAAATAAAAACAGGATTATTCTTTAATTTTTTTTTAATTATTATTACAGGTAGACACTTGAGATATTAAAGTTCTTTGTAGTCAGAGATTAACGTTTTAATAACTAATTTGGGATTAATCCTCACAAGAAAATAATATTACATTTATTCATCCAGTAGAACTGGTAAAAATAAATGAGAATTAATTTTTAAGGCGATAATTTGTGAAATAGAAACGAGCAAAAGATCGGTGAGATAATTTTTTTTTTATACAACTTAGAATGGCAAACAAGCTGACTGCCCACCTGATGGAAAGTGGTAACCGTCACCTATAGACATGAGCAGTACCATGGATATAACACAGTGTACTGTTTCGCCCATGATACCCCCTATGCGTTGCCATTCCTGAGGACTCAGGTGTTATTCCTCTGTACCCAGTAAATTCACGCCATATCCCATCCTTCAAACCGAAACACAGTCATGCAAACACAACCGCATCACGGTAGAAACACGAATGGGACAGAGGTACCCAAGCAATCGACTTTTGTACAAAATCTCCCTCTGGTAATTTGCATATATATATATATATATATATATATACCCTTTATTTTTCTTTATTTTCTCAATGTCCTCTACCCAAAGGTTGTCTGGAAGAGATTGCTTAGCGATAAGGCCGCCTTTTGTATCATTTCTTATTACAGTTAAATGTGTCTACTATTTTATAAATGGTGCAATAAAGTGTACATAAATAAATAAAATAAATAAATATATATATATATATATATTTCTAATCACAAAAAAGAATTAATGAACAATCATATTCATGATCCGTACCCGACCCAAAGGTCACGCTGACACTTTCGGCATTTCCACGTTGGATTGCGAGAGATATCCTTTGAGCCAGAATATATATATATATATATATATATATATATATATATATATATATATATAAGTTTAATAGATTACGCCTAACCTAACCCTATTAATGATAATAGGGTTAAGTTAGGGATAATCTAATTGTGTTTAATTATTTGATTCCTATAATGGTCATATTAGCCATTAACTATTCTACAGTCTATTACTGAGGACCTACCATGAAATATTTTCCGAAATTTCGGGGACGAACGAAACAGAATTTTCATGTTAAAATTATATAATACATGCCGTTTAAAATTATTAAAAATGTATATATCGTTCCCCTGAACTATTAGGATAGGATTTATGATGAACGAAATGTTAAGTTCCATTTACTGGGTCGATATCGGTACGAACAAAAACACGAAATTGAGCCCGAAAATTCGGAATTTCGTTTTCATGGTAGACCACCTGAACATAGGCCTCTTTATTAGTGGTTTTTTTGGGCGATAATGGAATGGTAACTTCACCCGCGCTGTCGGTATACATCGGCGGGGCACCAGTGAAGGATGATAGGTGAGGATGAAGCAGGTCAATTAGTCCATCGTGACGAATTCCAATAGAATTAACCGGGATTGGTCTCCAGTCTCCAGAGGGAACCGCGTGGAGGTCAACCTGATATTGCTAGGATTACTAACGATTCCTTTCCCTTCTATTAGTGGGGTTTTGCCAGTTTGCTGCGCTTGGCAGGCGGGCTGGCAACTGTAGTTCGGGTTTGGTGATGTTTTAAGAGGAGCAGAGAGGAGATGCTCTATCAATCCCTCGACCATTAATCTCCTTTAATCGCTTTTTACGATACTCACGGAAAAAATGGGGCAGCATATTCTATGCCGGGACCACATGGTAACCTCCTCATACAAATTTTGTTATTGTAATCCACTTCAGAAGTTGTCCATATATGATAAAAATGGCCCAGAAATTCTTGGCATTAAAGGACACCACTATCTTATACTAACTAAAATTTATTTTGCCGGGGGGGGGGATTATTAGTAATGCCACTGCCAGTCTCATTACTAGCAATATATCCTATCAGGTCGACCTTCACGTGGTCCTCCATGGAAACCATCGTGCTGAATCCCAGGTGTATTCATCACGGTGGGCTGACTGACCTGCCTTTTCATTCTCACCTATCATCCCTCACTGGTGCCCCGCCAGCGAATATCGTTAGCGCAGGCGGGGTTGCCATTCCATTATCATCCATTAAAAAAAAACATTTACTTTTATTTTTAAATTTAGATTTCAATTCAGCAGAAGATGGTAGACACTATTTTGTACACTATTGTTTTTTTTTTGTTTGTTTTGTTTTTATTTTGTATTCTACTGTGTGAGTCACATGATTTTTTTGAAAAAAACAACTTAACTACTGAATTTTCTGGACTTTTTAACGTTGATTTTCCATCTTGAGTGAAATGATCTGAAACACTGGTATTTTCTAAATAAAAAACACAACGGGCTCGTCCGTCCATGCAATCCATTAGTCGAAATACCTGGGTAAGGAAATATTATTTCAAAATATTCGAACATAGAGAAAAATGCACGGAATACAAAATCACGTGCATGGTTTATTTCGCAACAAATAAGCCTGTTTCCCACGTTGTGTTTACGTTCTGTTCCACGATAACTGGCCGGGAGTAATAGCGGGCATATATTTCAGGGTTTGTCCGCTTTACAAGAGATTTTCCTAAGTAAGAAAATAAAAAAAAAGAAAAAGAAAATCGTCTTCTCTTTTTATTGTGATAAGATTAAAAAAAATATAGACTTTTACAAGTAACTAAAAATGTTCTAATTCAATAAATAATTTTAGTATTTATTTATTTATTCTTTATTGCACAATAAAACTTTGTACAAATGGCGAGCTTAATGCCACATGGCATTCTCCACCAGCTAACCATTAGGTAAAAACAGAAAGCGTATGAAGGGCAGATGTATGTATGTATGTAGTATCTTGATTCTTTAGGATTCTGAAAGAATTTTGATTTTTGACTTGATTCTTTTCGTAACTGATACGGTCAAAATAGAAAAATTATTTTTTAGAAAGCCATTTTTAAATATAGAAACAAACTAAAAACCTCTCTCTTCAAGAAGTCGGTTTAAAAATATTTAACACTATTTAAAACAATAGAGAATAGAAGAGGCAAAATGCTGGGCCATCTTATATGACATGACGATTTTTTAAAGAGCATAGTAGAAGGAAAAATAGAGGGCAAAAGAGGAAGAGGAAGACCGAGGAATAACTACATGGGACAGATAAAAGAAACACTAGGTGTCATGTCATATCGGGAGGTCAAGGATATGGCCTGGGATAGAGCTGGCTGGAAGAAGATGTATGAATTAATTGCAACGACAAGAGGAAACACTTAAATGAAAAATATTTAACACTAGTTGAACAAAATTTTCGACAAATAAATCTCGGAATCGCAAAACCAAGATGGCGTATCTCTTTACATTGCTGAAACAACTGAGCGCTCTGTATCCGGGTAATTAATTTAAAACACAGACTGCCGACTTTAATTAACTTTGTGCATTAGATACTTATCGTGGTGGTTTAGTGATGGGACCAACAGATTGACTTATCGATGGTTGTGTCCCGCCATAAAAATAAATAGAGTAAAAGTGACACTCCTAATATACTGTCCTTTATAAATACGAAAGTAGCATTAAAATGTATCCTTCTTCTCTTCAGATCTCACATAAATTAAGAGGGTAGTCGCGAAATTTCAAAATTTATATTATCTTTATTTTTCATATTTTTATATATTGTCTAAAGGACGATATAGAAATAAATAATAAATTTAGAGTAAAGAATCAACTTTATTTCTCCATTTCAATCAATTAAAATGTCTCCCTTCTATAAATTTTGTCGAAAAGACCAAAGAATTTATATTTCTACTAATTTTTTCACCACATATGTATGTAAGTAGAAATGTGAAAAGTGTATTCAAAAACGATTTCGATGTTATATAGTTATCTAAACCATTCAAACATCTAGTTATCGAAAGACTGCATTTAATTTCATGTTTTAGAGGCAAATAATTTTACGTAAAAAAAAAAAACGAGACCCTTTTTTGAAGTTGGTTGAAAAGTAAGACAAATTTAAGTATCTATATATATATAAAACAGAAAAAATATCAGTTATTATGTCATCATAATCATTATCAATTATTATAATATAATTTTTCATTTATTCATTAACATTCATCAACCTCATTTCAACTGCTGGACATAGACTTCCTTCATAGACTTTTTTTTTTTTTTTTTTTTTTTATGCCACTTAGAATGGCAAACAAGCTGACGGCCCACCTGATGGAAAGTGGTAACCGTCGCCTATAGACATGAGCAGTACTATGGACATAACAGAGTATACTGTTTCGCCCATGATACTCCCCATGCGTTGCCAC